TATGCTTCCCTTGTAAGAAACAAGTAAACTTTGCTTTTATCACTTTATCTTCATGCTACTCTGTACTTTGTGCTCCCTGAATCAGACATTGCAGGAACGGCCATTTTACATCTTCAAGCATCAGCAAGAGATATGCGATAGCGGTTGTTGAGAAAACTTTCTCTATAATAAAAGAGCTCCAGTAGAAAACAATATGCCTTGTTTGAGGAAGGTTCACAAGTCCAGCTCACGCTGCGTTAGCTGATTGCATGTAGTGGATTTTTCTAGACATGTTTGTTTCATGCTTAAAGCGGAATAGCACTGCTTTTTCTGCACATTCGAGATGCCATCCTTACTGTCAAAATGCTTCTCAATGATACATTTGTGGAAAGACAAAATTCGAAAATTTTTTGAGTTAGTCTTTGAATTCTTGATTTTTTATGCCCCACAACCTTTAATGTCTCCCACTCTGCTCGCTTTTTTGAATTTGAGCCAACAATCACAGTTTGTGTTAGGTTGTCCGGAAATTAATGTCGTTTTTGAATTTCAACCGCAATAAGTCATATATTTTTCATTCCTGAATAGGCTTTAAGATACCATTCGATAGAGCAAAGCAAGCTCTACAAGATGGCTGTCTTGCTTTAGCAACAGCTCTAATCCACCTCGAGTTTCGAGCCAAAAACTAAAAAGATCCAACTGCCTGAAAAATCGAGAAAAATCATAACTCAGTTCAAAAGAATCCTACAAAAATTCTAACTTGCTCACGTAAACACTGTCCACATAAGACACATATGTACGTCATTGCCGTATTTTTTCCTCTGTTAGAAATCAAGAAAACGAAAATTTCCATGCTTTTGCCAAAGTGATGCTGTGTCGTCCCCACATAAGTAGATGTGTACTACATATCTGTAGAAGTGCAAAAGTAATTTTTCAGCGCTCCACAAGCTTTAGTTCTCGAGAAATATCGAATATAGCTTTCATTAGTCAAGTGGTCCAAGCTAAAATTCAAATTTCTCGAGAACTAAAGCTTGTAGAGGGCTGAAAATTCACGATTGCACTTCTACAGATTTGTAGTACACATCTACTTATGTAGGGACGACACAGCATCACTTTGGCAAAAGCATGGAAACTTTCGTTTTCTTGATTTCTAACAGAGGAAAATTACGGCAACGGCGTACATATATGTCTTATGTGGATAGTGTTTACGTGAGCAAGTCAGAATTTTTGTAGGATTCTTTTGAAATGAGTTATGATTTTTCTCGATTTTTAGGCAGTTGGATCTTTTTAGTTTTTGGCTCGAAACTCGAGGTGGATTAGAGCTGTTGCTAAAGCAAGACAGCCATCTTGTAGAGCTTGCTTTGCTCTATCGAATGGTATCTTAAAGCCTATTCAGGAATGAAAAATATATGACTTATTGCGGTTGAAATTCAAAACGGACATTAATTTCCGGACAACCTAATACTATATACTTCAACTATATACTCCATGACAATCTCCTTGGCGATAGTGGAACATAAAAACAAGAACTTTTTCCCAGAACATCTCTCCATTAAACTCACATCTGAAGCGTTTTTGTGCACGCGCCAAATCATTTGTTTACATGACTGATGTTCATGCCTAATGAAAGAACCGAGCCATCGATCACTAACATTCAAAACTTTTGTAAAAAAAATTTAGGTCATGCATATCGCAACATTAGCTTTTTTGCAGGAAGCGATTATGCAATGATTGCGCAACTTATCTCTAGAAGAGCAGTGTCTCACCAAAATTGAGGTAGCGCGGATCTCCACATATTTCGTTAGAGGATCTCATGGACAGGCGACCGCCCCAAGTCCGACTCAATCCAATTGTTCTATGCCCAGAAATTCGCCTTCCAAGTGGCCCGCACGGCCGGCTGTTCCGCTTCCCCTCTTAAACACCGGGCATACCTCACGCGATTTCACATGCGACGCGACTTGGCAATACCCCAGTTGCCCACTACTCGTCGCAAACTTAATTTGAGCACACGTGAAAATTGCATATTTTATCGATTGACAAAAGTTGAATGCACCAAGCATTTTTGCTCTGCAGTTGTTGGGTTTGAAGAATTCTGGCAAATGGTCAAATTGCGTGACAAACGTGAAATCGAGAGGTATGCCCAGGGTCCTACGCGTTTCATCATGTCTCTACACTTGGCGTTCACCTCCATAATGTTGCTGCCACTGTGCCGAAGGTTGGGCTGAGAGCACAACTCGTCCGCGTTGCTTCCAAGGGTTTACCCGCGTTGAGTTAGCAAGGACGAAAAGGCTTGCAACATGCAAAAATCTCGACCCGTGGCGGAACACTGCCTCTTCTCAGATAACTGAAAAGAAGAGAGACCAACACCTACTCAGACAATCACCGGGGGCAGGCGGTCCGCAAACTCGCGCTTTTCTTCAAGCAGTCAGCAAAATTTTGAGCGTGGCCAAACCTTCAGTGAGCGGTACTCCGTTTTCTGCCAGCGGGCAGCAATACATAATTTCTGCAAGCGCACGTCAAATGATTTCCTTCAGCGAACGCCTCCAAACTTTCAGCAGGCGCTCGGACTTTTTCTAAGCAGTTTCGGGCTACGCCGAGCAAAGGTGAGACTCTACGTGGCAGAGGTGTCATCGATGGTAAATCACCCAAGTTTGGGGTACCTTTTTTTAGCGAAAGGTACCCTGGGCAGTGCGGTCCTTAAAGGACCGTGCGGCCCCAACTTTTGCATGTTCTCGCGGAAAGTCCACTGGCCACTGGCTCGCAATTTATCCGTAAAAAGACCGCGATAGTTCTTCGAGCATTCATTCAAAACTTTGTCAAGATTATCCCAAATATTTGCAAGTGGGCCGCAAGAGATCAGCGAACTATCTTTCCGGCGTCGGCCTGCTCATTGATCGCATGGCTGCCTACCCCCGACGATTATCTGAGTTTGCTCGGCGTACGCCCGAAACTGCGTAAAAAGAGTCCAGCGCCTGCTGAAAGTTTGGCCAGCGCTCGCTGATAGAACTTATTTACCGAGCGCTTGCAGAAAATGCTGTATTGCGTACCGCTGGCAGAATATGCGATAGTAAAGGAAGTACCGCCCACTGAAGGTTTGGCCAAGCCCTAAAATTCTGCTGACCGCTTGCCCCGTCGATTATCTGAGTACAAGCTGGACGAGAAGCATCAAGGCTAGCGCGCGGCGCGTTTGCGTTGCAGAGGCACTTATGAGAAGCTAGCTATGGTACACACTATATTTACGTTTATTAGGGCGGAATAATGAAGTTCATGTAGCAGTCGGTGTAAAATTTCTTTTCGTTTTTGCTCCAACCCGCAAACCCCATAGAGTAAAGATAAACAGATGTAAGCAATATTCTACGTATAATTTCCTCTTCTTTCCAGCAGCCACATTCTTACTGCAGATCATTCGAAGAGCGCTGACTTAACCACCAAAAATACGACCCTTTAATTTTACAATGTTTGAAATATATCTTTATCTTTACACTCAAGGAGTGCCATTTAAACTATCACTGTTAGTATGAGGCATTCTAGGCATTCAAGAAACAACAAGGAAGGCACTCGTACTTCGATGAAGTAAGCAAAAAAAAGGACGGGATAGTGTACCCATAACAAGCAAAAAAGGTACGTCTGGGACCACATAGAGAAGTTGGGATGCCAGATGAATAGTAGTGGGGACTGCTATTGCTCATGGATAATGGAGCGGTTCAAGCAAGAGTATTGGTTTAGCTAGGTATCCACCAACACTCCCCATTCTTGATCAGATCTGAAGAATTTCGAGCTGAAACATTCGTGGTCAAAAAAGTTCTCAATCCAAAGAAATCTAAAGTAGGACAAAGTGGCCCCTTCATAATCAAGTGATTAGTAAAAAAAAGAAACGCAACACAATAGCAAGGCATTGCCTTAATCTATCAAGAATAAGACAAAAATTACGTTAATTTTCAAAATTTTTATTTGAGATTTTCAAAGGAGCTTTGATAGCCAGATAATAGAGCAAAAATTTGCAAATGGAGTAAACATTTCGTATCTCTGCAGCACGCTTTTTAGTTTCACTAAAATATATAATTAAAGTGGTTTCGTTGCAATACATGTGACTCTTGCAGAAAATTACCATATCTCAGTTTTGCTACTGAGCGCTATTGTATCTATATTCCAAGATCTATCATATTTGAAGCGGTAATCGCTCATTTATTCCCCAAAGTCAGTAGTAATAACAACTGAGTTTTGAAACCACGGTTTTTTAAAATCTTTGCGTTGGTTAATCTTAAGTTAAGCGATTTTTTTGAAACTCGCGACTTTGGAAAATTGTTCGATAAAATTGCAGAAATCATGCTAGAGAAATACAGAAATTGCAGTGATCTGCAAAAAGATTGCGCTGTCAGATGGCTCAGAGCTTCTTCAAAAATATCGAAACAAATTTTTTAAAAACTACGGAAATGGGCATGTTAAAAATGAGACGCCGTAATCTTCGGCATCGCATAAGTCGCATTAGGAACATAACTACTGAAAAAAAAGATTTTCTATCATTCCTTCTCAGTACTGGAAATCGCACATGTTTTTGTTTTTTACGATTCTGTGAATCAAGTTTTTTGACTCGATTACAAAAGACTGGTTTTGCAGAAAGACCTGCAAAAGTTACTTCAAAACGCTGGTTCATCACATCAACCTATCTTGAATGTTCTGATCCCGGAACAATTACTTATAAACAGTCTTTTAGGGATTTTCATGTAGAGTTTGCTGTGAAAGATTGCAATTGTAATGGTTCAGCTTATATACACCAAATGAATGTTAGGAAAGTTCTAGTTATAGGCAAAGGTTCTTATTCATGTTGATGAAACAAAGAATGTTAAGACAATAAAGACAGCAGTGTAATGTTAACGCTAACAAAAATGTGAAATACTAAGGATCCTAAAAAACCGCTAATATGCTCTTTTTCAAATTTTTGTACATCAAACACTCAACTTGCCTTTGAAACTTTAAAAGTATTCCTGATATGAAACAAACTATCTATGATTAAACCAACTCGCCTTTTTGACGCCTCACGCGGAAAACGACGAAACCATCTGCAGTCAAATCGTCATAGAACACAAGCACAGCGGAACTTCAGCAGTGACGGTTGTTTACCTTGCAGAGAGATGTCTACAGGTGGCAAAAAGAGCGATTACGAAACTGGATGGCAGTACTTCTCCTGAACCAGAATAGAAGAGTATAAAGTTACCACCTGTAAAATGACAAGGTACTGAGCATGGCACCACAATATGGTTTATGTGCCGTCGTGATTTCCTACAACCATCTCGGAATGCGATCTAGTAATGTTGCACTTTTGTAATGTAATTCATCATCTCAGTGGGTCATACGAATGAAAGAAAACGGACGACCATATCAATTCTGGCTAGTCCCGAAAATTGCACCCTTTCATTCAACTATTTTTCTGATTATCATAATCATAATGCAATGATCCGTCTAAACAAAACTTGCTGAATAATGAAAGATCATGCACTACGGAAACGCAGAAGTGAGCAGACACTTTAAAGCTGCATGCCTACACTTAACTACAAACATATTGGGCTTGTACAAGTCTCATTTATTTTCTTCATAACCCCTGATTGTCCCGGCGGCCGATGTTTCTTCAAAAAAAAATTTTTTTTATGAAGATAATGAAAACATTACAAATTGTACTGATTATCCATTTACGAGTATTTAGACTGCTAAAATCCAGAGGACTGGTGATTCAAAATATGAAACTTTCTTTTGAACTGTGTTTCCGAAGTGGGCATGTTACTGCATGTGATCTTGAAAGGAAAGGATATCGAAGTAGTGCTTCCGTACGAAATGTATACTATCATATAGAGCATAAAACGCTGAATTCAAATCTGCCTATCTTATCTGCAAAGCGCTTCTGAAATGGGGGTTATGAGAAATTTTTTTGATGCAAACATACGAACGTGGCTATAATAAAATCATTCAGAACTTTGATCCGCAAGCTCAGTGGGGCCATAAATATTGCCAAGGCCTTTCATGCAATAAATATCTTCAATCTAATAAACTCATATCAGTCATTACTAATTTCAAGTACCGGAAAGATCTCAACACTTGTTTTCACCTTAGCCAATTTTGAATCAGAAATTTTCCACAACTTCTCTCTGAGAAGCGCTTTGCAGACAAGGAAAGCAGATTTGGAATCAGCGTTTTATGCTCTATAAGATAGTATACAATTATCTTAGAAAGCCACTTCGAGCAATTATTCTTCCCTTGTTAGAAGGGAGGGGTACTTGATCGAAGCGGTGTTTCATACGAAAATCAGCGTTTCGTGCACTATAAGATGCTATAAACTTCATATGGAAACACCACTTCGACCAAGTATCCTTTTTTGTTAGTTCCATTTCACCAAACCCTCTGCGAAAAATCATGCTGCTGAAAGAAAGTATGCCAAGCTGGTCAGCGGTCGATAATGCACAGGCAGTCTCGGTCTGTCACCATTTAGAAAATTTCCTCACGCGTGGTCAACAGCGCAACTTATGCTTAGACCGCGCATATCTAACCTCTGTTTAGAACAAGGTTGTTTCCTTTCTGCTCGCTTGAATATTTGCTTATCTCCAGGCCTTGCTTTGCATGAATATTTCTGAAAGAAGATGAAATAAGCACACTTGTCATAAAATCGAACATGTGACAACGTGAAGCATAGCTACATAAGTGGTAAAGAACTTTGTAACAGTATTCTACGTCGAATTTTGTGCAAAAAATGCTGATGAGCTGAGAAGCCGAATGCGGAAATGCATATTTCCTCTATACTTGGGTCCAAATCGAATAGAAATTAGATCATTCGAGAAAACATTCAAATATATTCGCATTTAAAATTCGATATTCGGAGTTTTTCCATTTTCGAATAAAATTCGAAAACTCGAATAATCAAAAAACGGGGTTTCGTATAAATATTATTCGAATGTTGCATTCGAATGTTTATTCGAATTTGTATGCGAATGATTTCTAACTACAGAATTATTCACGTTTTTTTTTTGCAGAATCAACTGCTGAGTATCAAGCTAGCTTCGTCTGCGTTTTCTTCCGCAAAACTCGATAATGCATCTCTTCGTAACCGTGATGACCTTTGAACTATATGGAAGTCGCATTCCTCCCACTGCTTGCGACAGTAAAAAAATAGGTGTGGATTTAGTTGATGCTTCTTCGATCAATGAGATAGTTCGAACTGCTATTGATATCAAATCAGAAAAAAAACTATCTAATCCTAGTTCATATACTGGAAGTGTTTTGACATGCCTGTTCCTCTTCCTCTGCATTGCTCATGTGGTACGCAAAGGTTCACATGGAGCACTTTTGCTTATAAAACTCACGTTGCAAAACTGGCAGATATATCACCTTGCAATAAAGTTTTGTTTAGTAAATAGTACATCATAGTTCTGTTATCAAAATTTAGTGGACTTTATCAATTTTTGGAGAACTTTAGCTACGAGGCTGGAAATTGGAACAGAGGAGTAAATCATCGATTCCACCGATTTTTGGAAAATTTTGATTTAGAAATTGGAATAGGGAATATGAGAGTGCTGATTATGAATGGATCGGCTTTAGCCAAATATGTCAGCAAGTTTTAGATATGGTTGCTTTGGTTTATTCGATAATTCACTCGGATATTTCAAAATTCGACTCCCAGTGCTCGAATATAATCGATATTCGTTCATTTAATATTTCTGATTTTTATTCTATTCGGAATTTATTCATTCGAAAAATTTTAAGTCTCGAATTTATTCGATATTTGTATGTTTGAGATTTTTTATTCTTGAATTTATTCGATATTCGTTTATTCGAATTTTTCGTTTTTGAATTTATTCGACATTCACTCATTCGATGAAAAATTTCGAATTTCCCCAAGTATAGCCCCTCTTTGCTATTACTCCATAAAGTTCAGTATTTGTAGTTTAAGAAAGAGAATTTCATGAATTTTCTGTGTACTCAATCATTAATAATAACGAATGTAAACAAAAATCTGTCTGATCTTTGCGACGGAATCGCATGGGTAAAAGCGAACCCCGTTTTAAGTTTAATAAACATACAAGAAAATTCCGCGCAAAAACTTTCGCAACACGTTTTGAACTAATAAAGCTCGTATCATTGCTGGTTAGGTGACACGGTTTCGTACGCAGAGAAAGAAAAAAGAGAACTAGCTTATGAAGGTGTAAAAATATTGAACGGTTGCAAAGTTAAACATAAGCTTGCCTTATTAAGTATTCGCAATGGTCAAGCACCGCTTTTATTGGCCCACTACAGGGAAAATCGTGCACGTTGAGCAGCGAAATAGTTCAGAAGTTACTAAAGACAGGGGCGAAAAAGAAGGAATCAAGTGCAATTTAGTACATGGATCTGGCTATTTTCGTAGCAAGATTTCAAAGCTAAAGTCTTGCATCAAGCAAAAAACCAAATCATGCTTGGAAGAGAAATTTTGAATACTTTTTCTTACGGTTGCCATTGGAAAATTGTAACTAAAGATGCGGAACATTATAGTACGAAAATTTTTTTGAACGGTGGGTTTTTACAAAGTCTCGCACATACATATTCTCAGCAAAAGTTGTACTCAGTTATCAGAAATCCAACTCCTTGTGCTAACAATTTTTCGTGTTGAATGCCTATTATTGTAAAACCGTCTCTGTAATTGAAAATTCTACATACAGCATGCTTATATTTTGGAGCAAATTCAAACCCGCTGAAAGATCTCGACCAAGTTTTGCTTGTACAAAATTCAAAGCAACAATTGCTTTCATCGTGCAAATATACAGAACTACTCTGAGAAAATTTGAACCTTTTGAAAAGGTTATAGGATTGGCTGTTTGTTTAAAGGAAAAAAAATGAGCCAGTCAGCTGCTGGCATTCTCAAACATAGGAAAGTTCATTTTCAAAAATCATTTTCTTTATAGATGGTAATCCAAAAATCAGAAAAAGCAGCGAAGCTGCACTCTAGATGAAGTGGTAGATTGTTCTTCCTTGGATCCTTTTCATCTTTTCATGCAACAATGTCCAATTCCTTGCGGAAACTAGCAGTGGCGGTCGCGGCAGGACCGGGACTTATGGTCCTACTGACAATAAGGATACATGGTTACCTTTCAGAGCGGCTAACGAAGAGCTCACTTTTCTTCCGTTTCCTTTCTTCGTTCTTTTTCTTTACTTTACCCTTACACTGTCTTCCCTTTCATCCTTCCTGCTCCTGCTCCAATTACGCTGCAGCAATCCTCTGCTATTCTCCCATCCTCCCCAACTATACCCCTTCCTGTCCCCTTTTTCATCATCAGTTTAAAGGAGCTTTGTCGCCCCATTTACATGATTGTGGGATCGCTAAAAGTATTAGGTTGGAAAGAAAAGAAAGTCTTGCTACCACATGCTAACGAAGCATGGTGACCACCAAAAAAGCCTGGAGTACCTTGATAAAGCAAAGCAAGCTCTACAATCGCAGCAAGTTCGATTTATGTGAAATTTGAAGCCAAAATTTTGAAGGTATCGAAATGCTCCGAAATGGAAAATCAAAAAAAAAATCTTGTAGAGGTATAGATGAGATAACCATCTTGCTTTGCTTTATCATAGTGAACCAGTAATCTAAAGGTGCTATTTGGAAGAGCGTACGCTTCGGGACCGCCACGCGGTTTCTCGCTATTTCAAATTTTTGAATTTCGCTTACGTTTCTTTATATTATGTGACACCTCACGCATGGTCTTTGCCTTGCTTTTATAGCACATGACAACACCAAATGCGACATTCTTTTCTTCTCAACCAAAGCACCATCTGATAGTCCGATAACAATCAACAGGCTTTAAACAATTTAACTGATGAAAGGGCCTAGTAAATTCAAGAACCAACGCGTGCCTGTGGCCTTTTGTACGGGAACAAGATATAGGCCAATCGTGGCGTTAGCCACGCACTCCGAAAAAATTTTTGGGGTGCTTCTCAAAATTTTTGCGGGTCCCCAACCCCAAAAATCTGGAAAAAGGGGGCGTGGCGCCAGCCATGCCCCCGAAAAAAATTTTTTTACAAAGCTAAAATGAATTTTTAAAAAATTTAAAAAATTATTTTAATTATTTACAAGTGCAGACAAGTCATTTGCACAATTTTATAACCCATATAAGTAACTTTCAAAAATTTCGCGACCCGTTCTCGGGGGGGGGGCGCGCGCCCCCCGCCCCCGCCCCCGTCGGTACGCCACTGCTTCCAATCGATTGAGGCTCCGCCTTTCCCACTCTCGCCCTGGGAAAGAATGATCAGAGAGCATGTTCGCGGAGGAGTCGTAGAGTCCAGCGCGGGAGTGGAGATGCTGATGCAAGCGACACTATGTGTTAAGCCCTGTACGTATAGAGATAGCATGGCATATGAAAGGTTTTTGGAGATTTCTGGGTGCAGATAAGAGTGTATCAAAAGATTTATTTGGGCTTATACATTGTTAGCAACAGCTTTATTTTTCAAAGTTCTTTTTTAAGTAACTGCGAAATTTGAATATGTCGATTGCAGGTTTTGTAGCAGGGGCACGATGGAGGCAGTAGATCACCTAGTGCAGAATATTATTATTATATTTGAACCAATGATGTTTTCGACAATGCACATTGATGCATACCAGATTTGGGGAGCCGAGCTCATCTAACCGATCGCAATATGCAAAGTACACCCTCACATTTCGAGTTATCTAAAATTATACTACGACTGCTCACACTATAGAATCACTTTCAAAGCGCTAACCATTTGATAAACTTGATCGTGATCCATGTTCGGTGACCATGCATTGATAATAAGGATACCTTAAGAATTTAGGTGTATTTGAGCCCTGGAAGGCATTTTTTTAAGAGTTTGATTTTCGTGACAGGTGATCCTTATGGCTTTTTTGCTTCTATTTTCTTTTTAAAGCCTTACATTCAAAAATGTAGTTTACGGATAAGAAAGTTCACCTTGTGAAGGAAGCAGTTTAGCAATATCTTCCAAAACCTCCTTGCTGTAGAATTTTTCTAAGGGGCAGTTGATGATTTCCCTATGCACGGATCGGCATGCGTCGATCAGGATCGCATCGTACTGTGTTCCTAAAGTACAAGTGCTAAAAATTTTCATAGATTGAGAGCATACGCGGCAAGCCAACCTGCCCTAGCTCTTTCTGCTAAGTAGTCGACACCATCAGCAACTATCACCTTATAGTGATCATCTTCCACCAATCCAAACCATTTTCTAGCCATATCGACAGTCTTACGACTAATTTCGACCACCGTTATGTACATCTCAAAAGGTCTTTACTTCTCGAAGTAGTAGCTAAAGGCTCGATTGTGAACCTTTGGAAAGACTTCATGCAGAAATCCGTCAATTGTACCTCCTGCAAGACCGATTTCTAGTACTCTAGCATTGCTATCCTGTGAGAATTCGATAAGATCGCTGCGAAAAAGTGCTTCTGAAATTTTGGTGTTAGAGTCTGTAGAAAGGTAAGGCAAAAAATTACCTATCATACGAATATAGTATGTACGTGGAAAAAGAAAAGATTTGTCGATTTTCCATCGTGACGTGTCGACAGTAGATGGTGTTTTTTCTGAGAGTTCGCATTACAACGAACAATTTCCTCATAGATTACGACAAAGAAAAGCCTCAAATATTTCGAGACTTTACCGAGCAGACATCTATTAGGTTGTTGCATAAGTTCTGTCCGATTTTTTTGCCTTATGTTTGAGGCAGCTGTTCTAAGAGAATTTCATCTCTAATGCGGTATTGTTAGTATGATTAGAAAGTGCTTTTCTTGCGCCTTTTAAGGCATTTCAAATTTCAATAAACTTTTTAGTGTAAGGAGATTTCAGGCCTAAAATCTCTAAGTGGCCGAGGTACGTTCTCACCCTAGAAATATGTTCTTGCGAGAAAATCTCCACAATGCGCCCTTCAGGTCAAGTTTTTTGATTGGTAGCGGAATAAGGGTGTAATATTCTAGCGTACGCATAACTTCATTTTCATGAAGAAAACGTCTTGCTAGTAAAATTTATTGTCAAACATTAATTTTCTGTATAAATGTTTTACAAGCTATAACTTTCTGTGAATAGAAGTAATCGACGACTTCAAAGTTGGAGGTGCTAGCGTAAAGCAAGGGCTAGCGGAGATCATCCACCAATTTTTTTTCGGCGCTCACGGCAACTGTAAAATTTTCGTAATTAAATGCACGCACACATGCGCTGAACCGAGGTCAAAAAGTGGCCAATTTTTGGTTTGGTCAAAAAATCTCTCGGCAACGCAGACCCTATGGGATCTTTTATGGTACAAAATAATCTACGTAAGATTCTCTATTTATCCATTGTTAAACAAGATGTCTATCAATTCTCATAAGGGAGCACTGCCATGTCAAATAAGAAAGGTTTGAAGAAAAACGCTGTAAAGTTTTTGAGTTCTTGCTTCTTCCTTAACACGGATTTCCACAGATTTCAATATGTGCCTGATAGCCAAGGAATTGCTCAATAAATAGAAACTAAGATCTTGGGGAAAAGCTGACTTTGAAAGAAGTTATGACATTTTGAAGTCAAAAATTTAAATCGGACAGAACTTATGCAACAACCTAATACTAACACAAACATGTTATCTTCCTTCTTATTCCTATTCCTAAGATTATAAATGCCATTTAAACCAAAGGAAGCATAAATATGACACACTGTATTGTCACTGAAAATTGAAGAAGGCATCACACTAATGAAAACCAACTTTATGAAACCCTCACTAGTATGATTAGACCTCATGGAAACCCAACCTAAACACGTGACAGTACGCATACTGAGCAAACAATGTTTTTTGTTGTTTTTTTTGACATTTTTGTTGAAGAGAAGCCATCATTGAAATTAATGTGTGCGTTTGTAAAACTTAGTTTAATCAGAACCGAATCAGTGCTTGGCAATTCAAAACTCTGGAGCACTCATTCGGTAGTCACTCCAATCGCAACGACTTTACTATACGCTGTTCCACAACTAAGCATTACCAATGAGATTTTTGTAGCCTAACCATTGTGCCTCGGTATTCGTCCTTATCTTACACATGTTGCCTTTTTCCCGTTTTTTCCCTTTTCCGTCCTTTCAAATCTCCTTCTCTAGGTATTTCAGTCAAGCTCCTCCGAATGCTCTTTTCACTTTATTACTTTTAAGCTTCTCTTGATCACTCTGCCATTTGTATCAACCTCAGTCAAACCCAAAAATGCAAAAGAACACAGACCGTTCATTAGCCTGGCGCATGATTCACGGCTACTGACTCTAAACAGAGGAGTAGATGATGTTATCCCTATTGCATATACAAAAAGAAGTGTAGAATGCTGTATATGATGCGGAAACCACCTCTGATGTTTCTCACTTACGATATAAACCATAAAAGTGTAAACCAGTACTGTAGTATGAAGTGTAAAAAGAAAACTTAAGAACATGACACATTTGCATTGGGAAGCAATCACAAAATGCGCTGAAATCTCAGTGTGTTAATTTCAAACTCAAACTTGTAGAAGCGGCCGCGCCATTGTTTGCTGCAAAAAGTGCGCCTAACCCGGTTCTTACGCAGGAAAGTGAGATAATAGGAAGATAGAGTTTCATAAAGACAGCTTTATCACATGATAAGCCTTGTCAGAAAAGTGCAACTCAAAAGAAATCTCAAAACTTCACATTTCGCCATTATGATACCTTTGCGCTTCTAGTTTATCGCCGAAGACATCCTTAGTTTAGGCTAGAGTCTTATTCACGAAGGCGCGAGCTGAAGACCCTAAGGGAAATGACGACGACCACATCCACTGTTCTTCCTGTCACATATTGTTGTTTAGTTCAGACTCACGTGCTGGCAGTTGTAGCTTGACATTCGAATGAAATCCACCGCTGATCTCCACAATTCTGTTCACTACCAATCTAAAAAAACAACGGAGAGATAAACAAATCTATTACACGAATTATTTTAAAGGTGTGATTTTATAGGTTTAGAGCTGCTAACACTTAGCTGCTACCTACAAGAATGGATAAGTGTCTTGAAGATTATAAAGGCTACCAATATCAGATTGCAGCAGCAACAAAAAATCAAATTTGTGCAATTTGATTTTGCAAATTTTTCAACTCACCCACTGGAAGGAGTATAATCAGGTATCATTATATCGACAACACTCACAGGATAGCCGTCTTCTAACGTTATGTCCTCTCTAAACAGACTTTTATTCAAGGAACCAAATTTTTGATTTCGAGGAAATGAAAAATCTCTTACAACGTCCTCCTGTACCCGTAAGTTTTCACAACCAAATCGCTGAATTCTTTTTCAGTCAACGCAGTCTGTGTACTATTTTCCGAGAGCTGGCTTTGTTGAGCATAACTACAGCAGAAAAGGGCGAGCTAAACAATCACTGATTAGAGCGAACTCCAATAGCCTAGTTTCAACAGTTTTTATTATTCTTACTTTACCGATAACAAGCGAGCGTAAACATTGTGACAATGTGTAATCTACGACCATTTTCCGCAGGGAAGTCGTGCGCAAGTTAGTACAGTTACGTTTACAGTGGTACACACAAGCTTAGCATTGATATCCGCGCAAATGTTGTCTTCAGCGCAAGGGCACTCGTCGGATGTCAAATCTATTCCTTGCCTATCGAAATTGAACCCTGATGTAAACTTTGTTCGCTGGTATTAGTAGCTAATGAACTGCTGTTTCTTTTCTGAAGAATGTCACTAACCATACGAAGAAGTCAAAGACAACAAGAAAAGATACTGAGTGACTTGTTCGAAGGGAAAGTCTTAGAACTCGAACTTCTAGGGTAAGATGTTGAAGTGAAGAAATAAACAGGAGTGAATGTATAGTTTTCTAGTAACCCAAGGTTTGTGAATGCTGGTCTACATGCTCCAGAGACTTCTATATGTGGCCCGATGAGTGCCAAACTTTGCACACACATTTTGGACACCGGCCGATGTCATAGACCTCGGGCATAGTCAACGCAATTCTATCGCCTTGCATTCTCCCGTCAAGACAACTATTGCGAATCCATTGCATGTCGACCACCTTGCATTTCGCCTAATAGTTATCATGATTAGTCGTACCAGAAAAACACCACACCGAAATGCGAGAGGATCGGCATGTAATGAACTCGTAACACTTGTTTTGTTAAAAGAATCACAAGGCGAGGAAATCGCGCGAACTATGCGCGAGGTATACGCTACATTTCAAAAGAAGATAAATTTTCGTCATCAGTATCGTCGAATCCCTACGGTATAACAGGCGGAGCTTTGCCGACGTTTGTCAACTTATGCGCGTGGCAGTTTCTGACAGCTAGAGACTACGAAAACCAATGCTTTTAGAAGTTCAGTAAGTTTTTCAACGAGTACAAATGTCTGCATGGCCGCGCCCACTATACGCATAAAAATCGTCTATATCAAACTACTCTTTCAGTTTTACAAACAATAGCAGCAAAGCTCAGTTTTATTCCGCGGTGAAGATGATGCGGTCGATCAAGTGGAAGCGGAGGCAGAGCAGCAATGTTTGGTGATGAAGCAAGTGGGAAGGGAAATGAGGGAAGCAAACACGTGTGCCTTCATAGTCGATATTAGCACATGATTGAGCCGGATTGGATCGAGCCAGGATCCGCAGCTAGTTGCTTGTAGTCGGCAATTATATCATACACTATATTTTATATATGTTTATGGAGTAGTTGCTTTTGTGGTCACCAAAAGGAAGACCAGAAAAACTTTAGAAAGTTCAGAAAACATAGTTTTTAACTTCCTAACTTTATTATATTTCAACAAGTTTCAGACTTCTGGCAATACTGCGATAGTTTTTAACTTTCTAACTTGATTATATTTCAACATGTTTCAGACTTCTGGCAATATGCGATAACAGGTGGACAGAGGAAACAAAGTGCAGTGCAAAGTATTTTGAGTTTTATAGCTTGCTTTTCAACGCGACTTTGCAGAAGTGAAGATTTTGGCGAAGTAATCATGAGAAATATTGAAAAATTTGGAGAAACCTTAATGAATGTAACGCCATTTGTTTGCTTCATCCCACTGCTATCAAACATCTTTCAACAAGCATGGAAGCTAGACATGGTAAAAGGAAGGCCATTTTATTGACCACAAGAGCAAACCCCTAGCTCAACGACGTTTGCTAAAAAAGGGAAGAAAAGCGTCGAAATGCTCAAAACTTTTGCGAGTTCTGTTCCATCTTCAATGAAGGGTGGAAATGTTACACAATTGATCTTCAAGCGAATAGTAATAAAACGAGTTTTATTCAGTAAAGCTAACTTGTATCACTCAACCAAATGCTCAGAGAAAAAAGGTAAAGTCGGAGCATCTTTCATCAAATGAGGCCGGTGCATAACTAACAAAAGGACCTATAAATCCATTCACCTGCAGCGTATATCCGATTATCCAAGCACAAAAGCCAGCGACACTCGTCATGACTGCATAAGCTCTCTTTCTACTTCTTGAGGATCCTTAATGACTAAAGGTTGGTTCAGACTGTTGGCACCTTCAAAATCGCATTTTTTTCGTTTAACACAGCACTCGAACATCAGTGGCGATCGAACTAGGGAAATACCGACTACTGTCTGCTACTAAAACAACTGGCGCTTACCGGTACCTCGAGTTGGCTGCGGGCGGAACGAAGATGTTTACTTTAAAGGCACATCCACACAATCTGGCAGATGATGAGATTTTGATGCTATATTGTTTCATTTATATTAATTTGTATACTACGCGCAAGGAATGCCATAACCGGAACAAACAACGAAGGCATTTAGAAACACAAACAGAAAAGAAAAACAAAACACTCATCGAGAAAATCAAGTCCAACTTTCGAAAAGTCAAAATATAACACAAGCTCGTGTAGAGCATGTGCGAATTCAAATCATTAGTGTAATGACTCAATAGAATTTGTCTCATGCCTCTGGTTGCACCAAAACTTTCTTTGATTATTCAAATAAGCGGGTGAGTATGTGGAGCGGTAAGTATGTGGAGGAAGCAGGTGAATGGGCATACAAGGAAAAACCTAACCAACTAATTTCTGAGAGAGCAGAACTCCGAAGTAAGATTTTGCACGTTGCAAACTATTAATCAGGACCAACAAGCTATTTTCAAACTAACAGCGAGAGGTGTGAATCGGACTCAAACCACTTTGTGAACGAAGTATAAATAGACGAAGAATACGTACATCAAAACGCCAACATCGGACGGCTTAGAAAACAGTCCTAATCCTCTTGCATGCTACAATCAGTGCAGCTCTAAAGATTAGAATCAAACAAGACGTGTTGGAGGAATTCCAGTTGATTAGTAGAAGCGAAGATCGGTTGACGGTGTAATGACAGAAATGGCCACATGTGCGCCAGAACGGTGAGCTCTACATGCAGCTTGAAACACGAGTACTAAATTGAATCGTAGAGAACACAGGTAAGAAAGTAGAGAATAAAAATCGGCTGCTGCCCAAACCCATGCTACGTAATACGAGTGGAATCAATCGGTGTGATTGTGAATAAACAGACGATGCAGAACTACTACTCAAGCACAAAATAAACATAAACCCTACGGGTGTGTGGGAAGGTAAGCTTTGGGCTCCATCTTTCCACACGCCCAAATGGCAGGGGTGCGCAAGTAGGAGTAGCATTAGTTCATCCTTCCCACACACCGAGAGGTACAGGTTGGTAGAGAAAGGAGTGGACTCCCAACCCATCCGACAACAGCAGAAAGGAATGAAAGACTGTATACTCGAAGCAGACTTGGTAGCTTGTTTCTGTTGTATACGGCGGGTCCTCCTATTGCAGGCGCTAGTATCGGCGGGGAAACCCTCCACGTTTGCCAGATGTTTTTTAGAGTTCATCCGAAATCAGTCTATGGAATGGTTCAGAAATGAATTAGAAATGTGGGTTGGTAATAATTACCTTATTCGCAAGCAGGTCTTGTCATCATTTCGCCGAGACCTCGCCTTCAGGTTATGGAAACTTCGAACCTCCCATAGAGATTCCCCAAAGTACGCCAGTCATACTAGTGTTCTTCAGGTCTCAGCCTAGTGCCGTGTTCAGATGAAAATAGAAAAAAAACAACAAAAAAATCACGACAATTTCAAATTTTGGGTCGAAGGACTGAACTGCAATCAATATCGCGCGCTAGTTAACCAGATGTCGAATTTTTTTTTGGCGCTCTCACTCTCTAAAGCCTAAAACCTGAGTGGGCGATACTTCTGAAGTACTTTTAAAGCAGAGTAGTAGCTTTCGCATATTATTAAGCTGTAACATAAGCCTTATCGCACTCTAACTTCTTACGGCGTAAGTCATATAGTTCATATTTTCAATAGGGGTTCAGGGCAGCTTCCGATAAAAAAGAAAGCAAGCTCTACAAGATATGTGCCAAAGTTCGCACCAACTTCGACCCACCGTAAGTTTGCATCCAAAACCTGAGTTGTGCTGAAGGCTCAAAAAATCGCTAAAAATTCATATCTTTGTTGAAGAAAATCTTACGAATCTCAAACTTGCCCAAAAAATGGACAATACAACAGACATTCATATGTACCATTTCTCTACTATTTCTTTATCTAGAAAACGAAGAAACGAAATTTTTTATGTTCATACGAAAACGAAGCTATGCTGTCACTCATGTAATTGTACATTACAAGCCCTTAGAAGTATGACCGAGTAGAAGTAGTAGATTTCAGTTTTCCATAGGCCCTAGTTTTCGAAAATTAGCGAATTTAGCTCTCCTCACTCGGATGTTCCATGCTAAAGTCAATATTTGAGAACTAGGGCTTGTAGAAAGCTGGGCCGGTAATAACTGGTCGAGACTCCGAGTTCAAAGCTGCGCATTAATTCGGAGTTAACTCTGAGTTTTTTTTTGAATCTCAGAGTTGACTCCAAGTTTTTTTTTTCTCAAACTCGGAGTTTCGTTCTGCTACTTGAGAAACCGCTACAGATGATAACCCATTGACACAATGTGGACCGCCAGTGGCCCACGCACTTTTTGCTGCTAGGGACGATGCGGACCACCAGCGGCCCACACCTCTTGCAAAATCATATCTGCCTGTCTAGTATTTCTTTCACATTTCAATATTTTTTCCACTCTTTTGCACTCTTGGGGTCTGTAGGCTCCGCCGTTCAAGAAAATGTTTATAACTACTTACAAAACAAGCTTGCATTTCGTAAATAATCACAAAACCCTCCCACACCGAAAGTGTTCTGAAAATCGCGTCGTCCCTCAGCGCCTTCATGCAAAATGAGGCGTCGTCGTCAAAAGGTTAAAGAACTGCTACGCATCATCGCAAAACACTCTGACGCATCCGGGACTTGATCTTCAGTTGCTCGGTGCACGGAGCCGACTATTAGACCACTACACCAAGTGGCCCTTTTTTTCGAGTTGCTGCTACGAATCAATGAATCCCGTAATCAAGATCTCACATGTAAAGATTGTGCAAACTTCTGCACACCACCTTGTAAAGCTTGCTTTGCTCTATCGAATGGTACCGTGAACCCCTACTGGAAATGTGAAGTGCACGACTTATCGCCATAGAAAAGTTAGACTTTAACAAGAATCACGTTATAACCTAATATCAACGCATCCTCGGCAATGAGCACTTCTGAGTGCGCCAGCCAACAACAATGCCAAGACTTTATGTCTGCGTAATATGATATGACATAAAAATGAGATATACGAAGCGACTGGTTGCTCTTTCTCCTACTTTATAGCCTTTTTTGATAGAGTAAGTTGATTAGTTCAGTCAGGCAACCAAACTTTAAGGTGGATTGGGAAATGTGGAGGACTATTAGAGTTTATAGCATACATCGCACTAGGCATGAATTTCCAATCAGATCGGATGTTCAAATCAGAAAGCGATTCCGAAACTTTGATGTTTTGAAAACGATTGATGAAATGCAGACCGTTGTAGAGCAAATGCAAAATGAACTTGAACATATGTGGTGCGCATTTAAAATAGTTCTACGGTGGCGAACACATTTGCGCAAGACGAATCACGCTCTGATCATCAACTTGTTAGTGACTTACGCGTAAACTGATCACAGAGATGTAATTTTTTGCGCGTAAAAATTGTCAGCAACGCAAAAACCTATGTTATGCCAAATATTAGGTTGTCCCATAAGTCTTTTCATACCTGACTTTTCAACGATATAAATCAGTTCTTCTTGAACTCCTGATAAATTGCAGGGTACCATTCGACAAATCAAAGTAAGCTCTACAAGATGGCGTTCAAAAGTTCGCACCAAGTCCAATCCGCAACATGCTCCAAACTAAAATAAAAAATTTTCCCGAATTTCCGAAAAAACGAAAATCATCATATCTCAGTTCAAAACAGCTCTGCAAATTTCCTATTTTTTCATGCATATACTCTCCTCATCGGACATTTATAGATGCACTTGCTGCATTTTTCTGATGGCTAGAAACCGAGAAAAAAATAATGCGCTCAATTTTCAAACTTTGCCTGTATCACTTCTGTATTCCCCGCAAGTAGGTGATTATATAGCTTATTCGCTCAGAATTACTGCCAAAAATTTGCAGCCTACTAGGTGCTGTAGTCCCTGAGAAAAATCGAATTGAAGGTCCGAATATGAAAAAACTTATGGGACAACCTAATATTCGGGGTTACAATTTGTGCGAAGACGTCTACATAGGCGATATGAGTGATTGCGACGATACAATAACACTTCTCTCCAGTACTAAAATAAGTAAGTACCTATATTGAATTTAATTTGCAGAATGTGAATTATATGCACTTTTTGTCACTAAAACATGTTTTACTAGAACGCTAGGCGTACATAGACCATTACATGACCCTAAAGTGCATGAAATTAGTGCCCCTAATTTATTGCTACTGTGGCGCCGTTCGCTAGAAATGCTGCTGAATGATCATCTGACTAAAACAAATATGGGCTTGCGCAGGTTTTTGGATGGGAAATAAAGAAAACCTGAAGATAACACAACCTTTCTTTCGCATTTCCCATACTCTGCAGCATAGGATTCTGGATACTAACAAAGTCCTAGTTTATCCATCTATCAAATCTACTTCAAAGGCAGTATATCACCAGAGTTTTGTCTCGGGATTTTTGCCAATCACGGACCTTCTCGACCTTGCATAGCCTTATACGAGCACAGATTTGCGCAAAATCCCCGGAAACCCCGTTTGCCGGAGCCCCATGAAGCCATGCGGACCAGCTTTTCTGCTCCAGCCCATTTCTCGCCGAAAGGTCTGTTGAAGCACGATAAGGAAACGGACAAATCGTCGAGCGCGCCAAAACGAGCTCCGCGGGCCACTTTGAGCCCAATTCTTTCAATGTGGAAGAGACCTTACCAAGTGCGACTTGGGCATTGGCCTAGTAAGGGGATCCCTTAATGAATTCCATAAAACTGGTATACCCCACATCCGGTGAGATACTGACTTCGATGGAAAAACAGAGCGCGATTATTTATGGTAAATTCACGGCACATGGTTGGCGAACAAAGTTCAAACAGAGCATGCTTCTGTTTGAGGACCGAGTTTTGAGGCTACTCTGGGTCCTGTGAAGAAAGAGACCTCTGAAACGTTCTCAGACACTCGCGGTTGACTCGCGCAGGGGATCCGCCCACAAAATGGACGTTCGCGGCAAAATCCGGTGGACCGGCGCGAGTCATCATTTTAGTTTCGTCCGGATTTTGGTGCGA